CGTGCATTTCCTTTGGACAGAAAACACTTCTGATGAGCTATAGCACCCCAGCAATCATGAGCAGGGAAATAGCTCTAGTACGCTTGCCAAAGTATTTCAGTGGAAGGAGTTTTGTAGGCTAAGGAGGACAAAAATGCTTTTGTTGAGTTTAGAAATCAATTGATAAGTGTATTGCCAAGAGAGACGGCGATCTAAGTGGAAACCTAATGACTTTACTACCAACTCATTGTCGTTAAAATCCATGGTTTGAGTTTTAGCTTCCTTCAGGAAAAGGCTATTAGCAGAAAACCAAATTTTTATTTGTACATCATTATCTACAGTGTTCAAAACATATTCCCTAGTGTAGTATACAGGACAAAACTAGACTTAGAGAGGGCCAGGTAATTTATGAATATTATAAAAAGCGATGGACCTATAACACAACCCTGTGGGACCCCTGCTTTGTCTCTAAGACCTCAGACCCCTGTAAGCTGATGTACTGCTTATATGATGTAATAAGTTCAAGGCTGCCATGATCAAAGCCGTACTTAGCCAGCTTTTTAAAGGAAGTGTCAATCTAACGGATTGAATACTTTTTTTAATCCATTTTAGTAGTTTTACCCCAAATACTTTGATGCAAAAATCCCATAAAGGTCATATCTTGGATTCCGATAATGATTGGCATTTTTGAGTTATAATAAACATTTTACAATTTTTTTGCTGGAAGATCGTTTTAAACACTCAAAGATCATTTAGTTTTAGATGTCAAAGGTTTTTTCTTTTGCACCACTTTTTTTAGCTAATAGGGTATTCATATAAGGCATCAAATCGTTGGACCGAAGCTAAGCTAAACCCTATTTTACGAGTATCCACGTTTTGACGTCTACTGAGGTGAACAGCTGATAACCAAATGACGTCTTTTACAGTGTCCGTCAGAAAGAACGCATGTTTTTTAAATGAGTACTACAGTCAAAATAAGTATGGGATAAAATATTATATTATATCAAAATACTCATACATGCCATTTTTTTGAGTAAAACAAAAATTTACGTTCTAAAAATTATGTCCTCCATATGGCGCCCTTGAGCCGAAATGCAGGAATCAAGCCTCTCTCGAAATGAGCCCATTACGTCGGCCAGCATCCGTGCAGGAATTTGGGTTTCTTCTCCTTTCCTTCTTCAAATCGACGCGGGTCCGAGGCTCGCTTTGGTATACTTTTGATTTCAGATAGCCCCATACAAAATCACACGTTGACAGGTATGCAGGGGTGCTCATGCAACTGTTGGGGGCTCACTGGATACCAATATCGACAATTTTGTTTATTGACGTTTCCGTGTAAATGGAAATGTGCTTGATGACTCATAAACAACGTCATGTCATTGTTATCCCACTATTCAATCATGAGCTGTGCAAAATTAACACGTTGTGCATAGTCCCCTGGCAACAGTTGTTGACAAACTTGGATTTTGTAAGGATGGAACACTAACTCCTTCAAGATGCGACGTACAGAGGACGCGTGGATCCCCAAGGAACTGGCACGCAACCGACCGGATGATTCGGGCTTTGCAGCGTGTCAACTCTCACTCTGTCTACGTTTTCGAGGGTTCTAACAGAACGGTGTCGTCCTGGCGGTTTTTTCTTCATCACATCACCTGTTGTGTTGAATGCTTCCAACCATCTCAAAATGGTGTTATGGTCTGGTACTGTCCCACGACGTGGATCACGAAAGTGAACGCGAAACTCACGTTGCGTTCAAACGACAGACTCGCCATTTTGAAAGTACCGACGTACAGTGAACACACGATACTTAACGTTCCAAACCATGTTGCCAACTGAAACGGCACTTCTCCCACTATCCAACACGGTACCAGCCCACTCGATGCAGTACCCATTCGAAAAACATGCGTTCTTTCTGACGGACACTGCATTAGACTGTAGCGTTGATAATAATGAATCCGGTGTAAGTCTATCAAAACTTGGTTCTAACGTTTTTTTTTGTTTTCAAATTAACGTTTCTAATTAAAAGAGTTGTTAGCAATTACAAAATGAATCTGTAGCGTACGAAAAATCAAAACAAAACACGGCTGTTCACCTAGCGTTGACGGATCTGTTAGACTTGCCATTTGTTGATATGGGGAATTTTTAAATATTACTAGATAATCAGCTGTTATTCTACTGTAATGGATACTCGTGAAAAAGACAAAAGTGAAGTTGTGTGGATCTCACATCATCCAGAATGACCTTTATCCCGTAAGTACTACTAACCAATATTTATTCCATTACTGCTACTATGGGGTCCCACGGACCCATTTCAATTGTTGTTCATAAAAACTCCGTAAGCGGGAAATAAACAATTTATTCTTTTGCCAAAGTTAAAATGTTTAATATATAAGTTATTTACAGAAATAAAGCACATCAAATACAGTTGTTACATATTATTTTGGAACAGTAAAGGCAAACAGGTATTTTGCAAGTTGAACATATATTACTCGTCTTTCTATCCTTGTTTCGTGGACATAAGCGGCATCTCGGTCTTTTTGACCTGCTTGGTATTTCATTAGGTTCAGTAGGTTCTTCAAATGCCAACCTCAATATGTCAGCAGCATTCATTCGGATTTTGCGCGGTACATTTGTATTATAAATTCTAGCCGTTAGGTGAGGTGTGTATAGCTGCCTTCCCAGTTCTTTCAGGTATTCATATCGAGATACTTCTTTACCTGCTTGCGCAAATTGGTACACGACTCGACTGTTAACTCCTGCAATATTTAGAATTGCATGAAACAGGACCATGGGCCAACGTCGAGTTCTTCGTGACGTCGAGTACGTAGCACATTTTTCATCGAGAGCATCTACGCCGGCTTTTGTTTCATTATAATACAGAATTATTTCTGGTTTCTTACGGTCTCCATCAGTGCAAGCAGTGTTATGCATTGTTGACAATAATATGACAGATTTACCACGTTTAGGTACATAGGAAACAATTGTGTTTTGAGCGCTAAATCCAAAAAGCGAAGAATCCACTGATCGAGAACGATTTGGAAGAAATTCGGGTGGAATCGCTCGCTTATTTTTTTTCATAGTTCCAACATAAGTGAAACCTTTACTTTTCAGAGCATCGGCTAGTTCAATTGATGTGTACCAGTTATCACCAGTTACATTGCGGTTAGTGTTTATAATCGGCTCCACCAAACGTAAAACCACATGAGTCGGGTGGGTAAACTTTGTTCTATCTTCACCTGGGTTTTTTCCTGTATAAACTTCAGCGTTCACAGCAAAATGTGTTTTAGAATCGGCTAATATCTGAATTTTTATGCCATATTTGGCCGGTTTATTGGGCATGTACATTCGGAATTTGCAAAGGCCTCGAAAAGGCACCAACATTTCGTCCACAGTTACATTTATCCCTGGAGAATATACTCGCTTACAGTTATCAAAAAATATCTCAAAAATATTGGAGAATGCAGCAAGTGGGTTGTTTTTCATTCTTTCAGACCTTGTGGCCGGATCATCAAATCTAAGGGCACAAAGTAGGAATGAAAAACGTGCAAGTGACATTGTGCATCTGAAAATTTCGCGTCCTGTGCCGTCTGTTGCCCATAACGATCTCAAGTCTTCATGATTTGATTTGAATAAACCTTGCATGTATAACAATCCTATGAAGGCTCTCATTTCGGTAAGGTCCGTGTTATGGATAAAAGTAGGTGAATATACCTTTCTTGCATTTTTTCTCGTCTTGAACTTTTTGTATTTACGTCTCATGCTATCAATTTTATTATTTGAATGTTGCACAATCATTTCCAAAATATCATTTGTGAAAAGAAGTTCCCATGTCTCTAACAGTGTTTGCGGTGGGCTGTTTCGAATTTGACCTTTTAGCCTAGGTAGCACAGCTACGATGTTATGGGACAAAGTTCTTGTACGTCCTGGTGCTTCCAAGGACCACTTGGTTTTATCCTTCCCGTAATAATACATGCTGGATTTTGTTACCTTTGATGATTCAACTTCTTCCTCATCGTCACTTGGGTTCCATTCTAGCTCGCTGTCAGAATCATGTTGACTGAGTATCTCTACATCTTTTTCATCAGAGTCACTTTGGTCGCCTGTATCTACTATTTGTTGAAGTGTATCTAATTCATCGCTTGCGCTGGCATCGATTTCATCATTTTCGCCTATATCGCTGTCATCCCAAAAATTATCACTCTCTATTATCTTCCTCAAGTCATCATCTGATAGTTTCGATTTCCATGATTTAGCCATATTGCTTATATCTGAAAATCATAAGAACACTGTCATAGGTTGAAGGTATGCAAAAATATTACATGGAACTCTGCAATCACATCGTAATACAGATTTATTGATGTGTATATTTATGTATAATATAATACTATACCCAGTATTCCATAATTAGTCTCTAAATATGATCATAGTAATAATGAAATAGAATACTGCATTACCTATTTTTATCACACTTTGACTACTATGGGGTCCGACGGACCCATGCTACGTCACTGTGGCCCACGTTCAAATCAGGCAGATACACTCACTGTCGCGTTGGAGGGTGCACTGGCACTGGAATACATAGCCAGAGCGTCGTTACCCCCACTCTTTTATTTTTTGCGGAATCAGCCGCTAGTAATATACGAGGGGTCCCGGAGACCCCGATAGTAGTACTTACGGGTTATTCTGGCATTTGATGCAACCTTATTTTGTTAAATTTTTCTGCATATATAAAATACGACGCTAGTGCTCATGCGGTGATTGTAAAGGGCTATTGCGCTACTTTTATCGCCATTTGACCTGTGTGATGATGAATACATTGCCTTAGGAGGAATTTTGACTAATCTGTGAAAGTATATTTTGAAAAGTCCTTGATCTAAGACACCTATTGGAAAAATACTAGTTCCGTACTTTCGACAATCTAATAAAACCTTTATGATAACAGAACCATATCTTCCATTTTTTACCTATTGAATACAATTGACAGTTATGTGTTCTAGCGCATATTTTAGAGATAAAGAGACATTAAATTAAGCCAAGGGTAAACGAATACACATATATTTTTTATTGTTCAGTGACATATTTTCAATAAATAATTATATAAAATCCTATACATTATTATATATTAACCTTATCCCTAGTTTGACATAATTCAAATTAAAAAGTGTGATAATTTTCGCCCATGAAACTATTTTATGACAAGATTTTATACTATACTGCTCCAACTTGCAACACAGGTATAAGCAATTGGAATGCATCTTGGATGTAAGAGCTACTGTTTGCAGCCTGCAAAAAAAACATTACAAAAAAAAGTTACTGAGAAATTTATTTGATATATACCTCAAAGAAGACATTTGTGATGAGACCATTAATATCCTCTCCATTACTTTTTCCTGATGCCTTGACATTTAGTTTGTCTGAAAACTTGCCAGCTACTATGCCTATCAGTGAAGTTAAGGTTGTCGTCAGCCTAAAATAACATAAGTTACAGCGATTTTAATAGTAGTAATAACTGGTGAATCGTAAGATTGAAAGTTGACCCAGAGGTATTGACATACTTTATTTGTATACAAATACATTTGACTCTCGTGATGCGAAGCGGGGCGCGGCAATCTTTCTTCCTATATGGAGTTGTAAAGTTGATAGAAACTCATTCATACAGGTTATATCACTATAACACCTGATAACAATTAGCAGGCCTATTGCTACTTTCGTTAATTTCAGTCAACTTTTCGAGTTTGAGATGTTGTCGAGCGTGCTTCTAAGAAGCCCGAAATCGATGAGTAAGACGTACTAGACGTCAAAGATAGACTATAGAGCGACAGGATCGTTATTTGAGGCAGCTAGCACTTAGATACTGATTTTCCACAAGGCCAGTTGCGAACCAGTGGTTTGATACTGCCGGAAGGGCAATAACAATGAGGACAGTTTATCGCCGAATAAGGTCTTTTGGACTGTTTTCATACCGTTCCCATCTTGTACTACATCTGACCCCATAGCATGGTCGGCAACGGTTGGTATGGAGAGATTTGAATGGAACTCAGTCGCGTTCTGCGATTAGTCCACATTCTGTTTAGGCACACATGATGGTCGTGCAAGAGTAAGGAGGAAACGTGGTGAAAGACGGATTCCACCAAACGGCATATTCATCGCACTGTGGGTGTAGGCTTAGTTCAGATGACGCGCGTCGATGTTGCGCACGTTTGTTGTGTCGGTGTTCAGATAGCACGCGGACGACTTAGTACAACTTTTATACAGGGTGTTCCTTAATGATATGCGAATATTTAAGGGTGTGAATCTACATGAAGAATTAATGTTAGTTTGCTTTATAAACTATGGTCCAAAAATGTTTCCTTAACAAAAACTCGGGGTGTTGAAGTTTTAGGGAAAAAATGGAAATTAGTTAATATATTCAGAACAGGTTCAGATATTTCTCTGATATTTAGTACGTAATGAAAGTTAATAAAATTGCATATTTTTGAATGCAAAAATAATGTTTAGCTTTAACAGTGGCGTGCGTACGGGTATTGACTTCGATATTTTTTAAGAAAAAATGGTACGCCAATGGTTTTTTGCCAATTTTTTTTTTGAAATCCTCGTTCAATTTAAAATAAATGATCTCTCTTGAATTGTTTTCCTTCGATGCGCCATTTTTGAGTAAAAAAATAAAAACCGTTCTATTGTCCCAGAAAATTAATGAAATAATTGAAGAATGCAATTTAGCAATACATATCTATTTGCTCTGATTTTCCATGGCGTGTGACCTTTTGTCAGTGGTATCTTCAAAAAATTACACAAAATCCGCAATTTGAATCAGTGATTCTGTTCACGGACGCAGCTAATTTTTCTCGAAATGCCATTCAGAATTTCTACGATAATCATTTGTGGGCGGAAGAAAATCTTTATGCCGTAACCGAAACCCATTTCCAACACCAATTTTCTGTTAACGTATGGGCAGGAATTATTGGCAACCACTTTGTTGGCCCATTCTTCTTGCCGGGAGGACTTGACGGACAGACTTACCTCAATTTTCTTCAACAACAGTTGACTTTGCTGCTTGATGATGTTGCGTTAGTAGTAGTCAAGAGAAAGAACAGTTGCAGCTTGTGATAGCATAAAAAACACTCCAGGGATATTTCAACGAGTGCGCAATTCCATGAGGAGAGCGGAAGCATGCATATTAAGTGAAGGGGGCCATTATCAACAATCTTTGTAATCATTTCGTTGGTTTTAATGTTATGTTTATGTTGTCAGTTGTTGTTGTTCATTACCCCTAATGTGTTTATTTTTTCCAATTAAATTAATAATAATTTTGCAAGTTAGACAACAAAACGGTTTTTATTTTTTTAATCAAAAATGGCGCATCGGAGGAAAACAATTCAAGAGAGATCATTTGTTTTAAATTGAACGGGGAATTCAAAAATAATTTTTACTTGGCAAAAAACCATTGGCGTACCATTTTTTTCTTAAAAAATATCGAAGTCACTACCCGTACGCACGCCACTGTTAAAAATAAAAATTATTTTTGCATTGAAAAATATGCAACTTTATTAATTTTCACTACGTACTAAATATCAGTGATATATCTGAAGCGGGTGTGAAAATATTAATTCATTTCCATTTTTTTCCCTAAAACTTCAACACCCCGAGTTTTTGTAGGGAAACATTTTTGGACCATAGTTTATAAAGCAAACTAACATTAATTTTTCATGTAGATGCACACCCTTAAATATTCGCATATCATTAAGGAACACCCTGTATAGAGTGATATTAGGTGATCGAGTGTCAGTTTATTGTGTTTAATCAACGCGAATGGATGTGGGAAAAGCTGTTTAAATTTGTTTAGCATATAGAAGTAAACGACGTAGGAGGGAAAGAACATACTGGGTTCACAAAATTTTAAGGAATAGGCTTTCTACAAGTTTATACCTTACACTGTATCCTAGTATTCGAAAGCATGTACCTAAATTTTTCAAATACTTTAGGATGTCAATAAAATCGTTTGATAACTTACTGTCCATCATTAAGGATGATATTGTAGCAGATGCCAATGCAGTAAGGTATTGCATTTCACCAGAAGAAAAACTCATTGTTACACTAAGCTATGTTGAATGCACGTTTGGTGTTGCGTGTAACAAATGGCGAATATTACACCGGCCACTGGATGTAAACAGAATTCGCAGAGAGTATTGTTAAAGCAATATGTTTTTTACAAAATTACGTACGAATTAATAATGGATATAATTCTGAAGATATACTAAACACAGCGCCAGGAAACTTGAATGGCGGGATACAATGATCTAAATTGTTGCCTTTGTTGTAAACAGCAATTATAAATAAAGCATTACGAACAACCGTACCTAATATTTTCTTTTTTTCTTCGGTATCATCGGATTTGCAAAAAATTAGTACCATTTCCTCGCAGGCGCTTCTTTTTGCCGCCTTATTTAAGTATAACGTGGAATACATGTCCCAAATCGCTGGCCTCTTTTCAATTTCATCAATGAAAAGATCTGTGTTGAATTGTTCTACGTCCATTTCACTAACTACCATACGTAAGGAATTATTTTTTTGAAAGACACACCTGGTATGTCGCCTGAATGCTAAGAAAGACGTGGTGCCAACTGAACAGGCAATGGGAACGTCTAGCATTTCAATACGCGCGTAGACGCTGACCGACGCGCGTATGATTTCCCATGCACGCGTCCATCTGAACAGCTAGTATTAATTCTATGTATTTTCAAAGCGAGCGTCAGCCGTACGCGCGTCATCTGAACTAAGCCTTATGGTTTGGGGTGCCATTGCTTACGGCAGCAGGTCACGATTAGTGTTCATTCGAGGTAGCATGACCAGCGCTATATCCACGAAGTTTTACAACCACATCTGCTTCCCTTTTTGGAATCATTGCAAGATTCACCTTTTTAGCAGGATAATGCACGACCTCTTGTCGCACGTGTTAGTTTAGACTTTTTAGAAGCGTCCGGAGAGTGGTCTCCTCGATCTCCAGACCTTTCCTCCATCAAACATGTATGAGACATAATGTGAAGGTTGCAATATTCACCGCACCCTCTACAAACATTGGAGGCTCTACGAAATCAAATTCATATGTCCTGGGATACAATACACCAAGAAGACATCAATCACCTAATCCAATCAATGCCGCGACGACTTAACGAATGTGTAGCGAACAGAGGAGCATCAATACATTATTAACATTAAGGTGGGATATCTCAGCTATTTTGCGAAATTTTGAGTTAAAGTTTTAATCAGTTTCTATTTATCAGTAGACCTAAAACTTGTAAAAGTATGCTCAAAATTACAGCACTCCTAGTTGGTGTTACATTTTCTATGTCAATTAGTATTAGAAAAAAAATTAAATATCGATCTGATAATTCACTTTTGATACTAAGCTAACAACTAATCAGCTATTTCTGTTTTCATACTTATAAATCACCAGTTCAAAATTCAACTTTATTCTAATTTCAGTACACTGTCATAAATCAAGAGTAAAAATTTATATAAACAGCTTTTTCAAATGAATGAAAAGTTGCTGTGAAATGCTTTAGAATAAACTAAGCCCATAATACTTTTTGGGGCCTAGAAGACAACAGTTTCAACACTGACACTTGGTAACTTCAAAAAGAAATTTTAAATGAGTCTTATGTACTCACAACTTTCATTTTCTGGCTTTTGTGATTTTAAATTTTATAACTCGAAAATGGTCAATTTTAAAGAAGGGTTACTAAGAACCTTTTTATTCAGAACTATCCAAAAAAGGCTTTTTTTGCAATTCGTTTGAAAAAATTGAACAAATTCCACCCATGAGAACAAGGTTTTTGCCTCATCTATTTGAGATTCCAAGCATAACTTTTTTGGTTGGCTGAAAAAAAAATGATTATATCTTGTGACAGGTGTAGTATTGTGTACTTACTGTACTAAACTGTCAGCCTCATCAGCTGTACTATGGTGCTCTTTGATAAGCAACAGCTCTCCAGCTTTGTGAAACTGCTCCACAGCAATAGCAGTGAGTTGTGCTAATGTTTCTATAGCTTGTTGATGCAATTCATTCTCATCACAGATTTTGAGATTTACAGTATTTAACCATGTTTCTGTTTCCTCCCATGTCAACAATAACTTGTCATAGGAAATCTTAATATTTAGCTCTTTTATTGCTGATTGAAGTTTTTCCTTGATATCTTCCATTGTAGCTTGTTCTTCATCATCTTCATCAGGTAATTCACATAGCTCCTTGACTTGATCCATTGTCTCTTGAAGATCCATCAAGGATTTGTCATCATCACAATTTTCCATCAAAGTTTTTAGTTTGAAGTCACACTGCCTGGATAGCATCTCAAGAGCTTCCAAGTGTACTAAACCATGATGGTCATCAAATAATGTCTCATAGTTCTTTTTCTTGACAATGTGCTTTTGTTGAAGAGACCGATTTTCTTGTTCAGCTTTTTCTTTAGCCTCTCGCAGAACTTGAGATAAAATTGGTTTTTCTTGTTCTAATTTTAAGAACTGCCTTTTTTTCTTGAGGCCTGGATCGCCTTCTTGCAATACCTCCATGGTTTTTTTACCAATGGTTTCTAGTGTGTCTAAACCACCTGAGATAACTTTGCTACCTGCAATATATTTAAACTGTATGTCATAAATATTATTATTGGATTCAGAAGTGGGAAACAATAAAAAATATAAGATGTGATATATCTTCAAACATATGCACAGCTTTTATCACTGAGTAATTTATTTTATTTGGTGATGGATATATGATGTATTTGTATATTCCTTTGATATACCATGAAGTTATAAGTATTAGGTATAATATGGGTATATTCTGTACCAGGGCAAAATTGTATTTTAAATTGAATAAATTGTTTGTTCATTTCCCCTCAGCATAACCTTTTTGAAGACAAAATATTGATATTCCATTAAAATATTGGGAAAAAACCAGTTTACTGTGATTATCAATTTTGAAAAACAAGTTAATGATGGTCAATACCTGTTGTTTCTACAAGTTTGGTGAGATTAGAAACTCCTGACACTAGGTTCCCAAGATTCCCAAGTCCAAATCCTAATGTTCCAGTATTACTATTTTCAACCTCATGCTGAAGCTCTGTGCTATTTTCTCTGATTTTAGCTTCAAGTTCTTCCTTTTCCCTCTTGTGTAATCTTGCTAACTCCTGAGGATCAGGGATTCCTAAGCTAGTATCTACAATAGTATTTAGACCTTGTGAAACATGACTTGTAAGAGTAGATACTCCTTGTGTAGCTGATGTCAAAATTGAGGATACTCCCCAGTTACCCCAAGAGCTCCAGGAATCACTTGTGCTTTTTGACTCTGTAGGACTTTTTGATTGGTTTTCAGTTTTTGAAGATTCTGGTTGCTTATTTGTTTCCTCTATGGGCTCCCAGTCATCATCATTATCCCACATATTTTCTTCCTCTACATCAATAGTTTGCTTTTGGTTATCTGATTTCACTTGCTGGGATACCAGGGGCTGATTTAAGTTTTGTGTATCTATGCCTTCAGTTTCAAATGTGTTTGTCGAGTCTGTATTAGATGTAGAACAGTCAGTTGTTTCACATTTGTCATCTTTAATGTCATTATCATCAAAGTCCCAGCCATCATTTTCCCACATCAGTGTATCAACTTTAGTATCTGTAATTTTTGTTTCTTTACATGTTATTTCTTCTTTGATTTGATGAAGTTGCTTGACACTATGATCTTTGGGACTAGATTCTTCAACATTGATAGTATGAATGCTTTTGATATCCTCATGTTCCACCTTATTTTTGTTTTTGTCACAGTCAAGCATATGTTTTTGTTCATGTTTCTGCGTAATTACATTACTGTTTGAATTATGAATTGAAGTACTTTTATTGTCATTGGAGTTGCATACAGTATTATCTTCAAGAATATTTTTATTTTCTGTATCTAACTTAGATTTGAGGTCCAGGTTTTTAACTTGCTTGTTTTTTGTTACTTCTTTTGCCTCATTTACTTCCTCACTACAAATTGTTACATCTCCAACAAACTCTTTTCTAGCTTGTCTGTCGTCTATTGATTCCTTTATTACGTTTGGTTTCCCCTGGCCTTCATTTATGTTCAAATTTTGCAGTTTTTCAATCTGGGGAATATTCTCACAACTTTTCTCTTCCTTCCTATCTGCTTCATTATCCGAGAAAAAGTCTTCATCTGCACTCTCAAAGCACTCACTATCAGATGTCTCCATTTTTTTAAAAAAGTTTATTATGTTACTAATCAGAAATTAGTATTAGTTTTATTTTTCAAAATACACGTATTATTTATCTGACGTATATTTCAACTTCAAGGTGATTTCTGTCAACCACGTGCTTAAGTGTCAAGCTGGGCTCATCATACGATGGGGTAAAACTTTTAATGAATTTTTTGTAAGGTGGTAGTATTTAACCATATTCTAGGCTGCATAACCTGACATACGAGGGATGTCTTACAAGTTTTGCAGATGGAAATAAAACAACACGGTAGGTAGTTTTAAATGACTTTATTGTTTTTCGAAGTATTCTCCACGAAAATTAATACACATCTGCATGCGCTCAAACCAATTTTCGAAGCACTTATTCCACTAGTTTTCTGGCAGATCCAAAATGGCATTTTTGAAAGCGTCAACTGCTTCTTTTGGTGACCGGAACCTTCGACCATGCAGTCTGTTTTTAATTTTCGGGAAAGTAAAGAAATCGTTAGGATTTATATCGGGTCCATATGGAGGATGGTCCAATAATTCCACGTTTTCTTCTGTTAAATACTGCCTTGTTTTTTGGGCTGTGTGCGAGCTTGCATCGTCTTGGTGGAGCATGATTCTTCTTTCGGGGTTGATTCTTCGAAGCTCGGTGATGACTTTTGGCAAACAAATGGTGGTATACCAATCCGCAGTAACAGTTCTTTGCTCATTAAGAGGAATTGTTGCAATATGACCCGCTTTTGACACAAATGTCGCGACCATCTTTTTCGAAACACTTCGAGAACGGATGACTTTTGTTGGCTTTTCTTCACCTTGGAACACCGAAACAGCCGACTGTCGTTTCTTTTCTGGTTCATAACAGTAAATCCACGATTCATCACGACTAACAATGCTGTACACGTGTACACATTTTTCCGGATTTGAAACGGTCAAGCGTTTTTTGACACCAATTAACCCTGGCTGCTTTCTGCTCTTCAGTCAACACGTGGGGTATCCAACCAGAAACTAATTTTCTTACTCCTAATTCTTCATGTAAAATTTTTTTGAATTGAGGTCTTTGAGATCTTCAAGGACACCTCAATCTCGCGATATGTCACATGTCTATCTTCAATGATGAGTTTGCGTACAGGATCGACGTTTTCCTAGGTAATTGCCGTTTTTGGTGCACCCACCTTGGAATCGTCGCTAAGACTCACCCGTCCACGTTTGAATTCTCCATACCAACGGGAAATTGTCGACTGATGTGGCGCTTCGTTGTCGAAAACAGACAGTAACTCAGCAAGGCATTCTTGATGCGATAATTGTCTCTGAAAGTTGTAATAAATTATGGCGCGAAAATGTTCTCGGTTGAGTTCCATTTTTCTAATGACTTGGTGATACTTACAAATTCATTGTAGTGAGAACACTGCACGTATTGTTGTGAAACTTTGAATTTAAGTTTACTAAAGAGTGAGGTTAAGATTCAGTACTGACGTTCGATCCGCGCGGCCTACTATGTTTCTATATGCAAAACTTAAAAGACATCCCTCGTATCTTATCCTACCTCCGCGTCATGCATACTCCGTGATGTGACAGTTCCGTGTATGTTTTGTGGTTCCGTGATCTTCCTAACCAATATTTTTTTGTAAATAAAACAACACGTGTATAATAAGTTTTGTGTTGAGCATAAAATAAAATGGGTAAAATAAAAACGGAACCAGTAGAATCCATGGGAGGCGACATAAGTATAAAAGAAGAGCCGTCTGAATTGACATATGAGGAAAAACTTGTGAACTGTAACGTTATTGCAAAACCAATGGCTTCAAAGAAATTGGCCAAGAAATTGTACAAACTAGTAAAAAAAGGTAAAGTAGTCACATATATCCCCTTCCGATGTATAATTCGAAGCATCTTTCCAGCTGTAAAACAGAAAACATATATCCGATGTGGATTAAAAGACGTCCAAACCAGGATACGTAAAGGAGAAACCGGTATTGTTATATTCGCTGGTGATGTCTCACCTGTGGACATCATGTGCCATCTTCCTGCAGTTTGTGAAGAGAAGAATATTCCTTATGTTTACATTCCTAGTAGAAAGGACTTGGGTGGTGCAATGGGGGTAAAGAGAGGGTGTTTGACTGTCTTAATACGACCACATGAAGAGTATAAGGATCCTTATAATGAACTTAAGGAAGAGTTGGAACAACTGGGTATTGCTTTGTAATAATCTTAGTTTTTATAGGATAGTTTAATAAGGAAAATGTGTTTTCATTGTTTTTTGATAATTAATAATAAATTACATAAACAATAATGTTCTTTTTTTGCTGTACAGTAGAATTAATTTTGGACTGTTCACAATTTAATCAATGACAGGATGATTTTTTACAGCAGCCAAACACAGATAAGGTTTCTCATTTCATATACTTAATAGATATTGTGCTCTTCCTATGTTTATAAGCTGCCTTTATGGGAGATCATGTTTGCTCTGAAGATAATGTCTGTAGAATCATTTATACTTAAAAGGTATATAAGATTACACAGAATGATGATGAAATGCCATACTTCTCTGACAAAATAAGTTGGAAATTATCTCATATCCTTAATTTATAGTCCATTCAAATGCTCGTGATTGATCATTAGCTTTAAGAACAGCCAAAATACACAGAATCTTGGCAACAGTATGTAGTGTAATCATATTAGCAAATTTCCCCAAAATAATTGTAAAGTCTGCTTTTATTGATGCAAGTTGTTCAAGGGGGTATTTAAAACATGGACACATACAATGGGGATACCAATTTTGGTGGGTAAACCTTTTATTTGACAACAAAGAATGATAAAACTTGTTTTTTGGATTCAATCAAAAGTGTTGTCAGGTACCAAAAACACTCTTCAAATAAGATTTTTAGGTATTTATGAGACCTACAGAATGAGACCACACATAAAAAGATCTGACTAATAGTAAAAAAGTTATTTCCAAAAACCGAGAGAAAATGCAGGTATGGCTCACACGGACTCAAGCGACGAAAGACGTGTGCATGCAGCATGCACACATTCTGGCCCCGCCGGGTGGTACCTCCGCGTACGATAGTCAGAGACCGTCTATAACCTACGGACATTCACAACGTCCATAGCCAAGAGAAAAATTTCTCCTGGGACGGGATTCGAACCCTCGCAGCGCACGCCGACTGATCAGGAGACGAAGTGTCTGCCACTGCTGCTGCCTAAATTTTCGCAATTGCAACATACTATCACAATTTTGTGTAGAAAAAAGAGGTTTATCGAAAAAATACCACAAATGTTTAATACAAATGTTTTATTGTAGCAAATTATTGCACACATACATGATTGTTGAGTAGATAAATGTATGTAGTTTGAATATGTGTGTAATCTAACTCCCTATGAGATATCAAAACAAACTTGCTAAAAAACTAAAGATTAAATCGATTGTCTTTAACTTAGTAATTACAAAAGAAAACATTTCAGATTTTAAACTGTTATACGATGGTGGCTGACAATCTTGGTATCAAATGTAAACCAAGAAAAGCATTTATTCATTCCCATGCAATCAGAAGTTAATTGTCTTTATCTTGTCCATTATTGACACATCCATTCTTCACAATGCTACTACTCTAACCTATTCTTTACCCTGTGCTACTCTATTGGACAAAACCAAACTAAATATCTATATGGTATCAACTTCTGTACACATTACAAACCCAATTTAAAGTATCAACAGTTTAAAATCTTTACTCTAGAAAACTAAAAATTGCACAATTCCAATACATATATTTACATAATTCAAATTGACTTGTACAGTTGTGTGATGTAAATGGTATTTTCAGTGTTTACTAACTATAAAGAGACAATCAAAGCAAACCTTTCTGATTGTATGCATTTTTGAAGACTACACTGCTACCAAATATAGAAGTTGTATTCTCATAACATTGATATACTGAAATTAGAGCAATGATATATTTTGATTCATATGTGCCTGAAATATCAAACAATCCACTCTTCCCAGCAATGAATCACAAAAAATTTACAGTTATTTAATCCCTTGATTTTTACATTGGTGAATGAATTTTTTTATCCTTAAATGTTCATAATCAAATCGAAGTCAATATAGTGTGCAGTTTTCACCATTACTATACAGACAATGATCCTGGGGCATTTGAAAGAGTTCGAGAGCTGTAAGTGCTCCTAATCACTGAAAATATTTTTTGCAGATAAAGGAGCTGTATGCACGCTGTCTGATAGTACAAGATAAAAAAATATCCGCTCTGTAAATGTTTATCAGTGTATCTGTGTATATTAACATCTGCGTTCTTAATTAAAAAATGCGGCGTCCAAACACACTCGCTAGTATAGTCTCTAAAAATTCTTATTACTAATTCCTTCAAGTTACAAAACGAACACAGCAACGCGATTAAACCAAGACGAATTTTTACTATACACTAGGGAGAATCTACATTTTTAAATGCTTTAAAAAGTTGGTCCTAAAATCGAGTAAATGAAAGAGAGAACACTGATGTTTATACGTTTTTGTATGTAATATAAATGTTTAATAGGAATGGTATCATTTTGAAGAACTAGACAGACCTGATGATCAAGAGAGGTTGGAGGGTTGTCATGAAGATTTTTGAGGGAATATACTTTGGGCCACGATCCAAATCAATGTGTTGGCCATCTGTCATTTTTGCCTAATGTCATTATGATTATAACTCTCTAGGCATATCTTGATTTTTTTTAATTTCTCTATGATAACCTTATAACCCCACTCGATCGATTTTTTATGAAAAGATGACTTATTATTAAGTTTAAACTCTCAAAACCACTTCATGGAATCTATCAAAAGTTTTTTAGTTTTTAGAACTTCAACTGATTTTCCATATTAGATCATGTCGACACTGTCCACTTAGATAAGAAGAAAACAAGATTCCATAAAATAGCATTGGTAGCTTCATTTGAAAATTTTAATTATATAAACCAGACACTTCTTGAAAAGTAGGTTAAAATACTTGTTATTTTTAAAGGACAGGGTTGAGTGATGCAGCTACACTACTTTTTGCATATACTATTTTAGAAACTGGCATTCATTCATTCCAAAAAGGTGCATATAAAAATGAGCTGCTTTTCTTAAAAGTCGAAGCGGTAATGTTTGTAATGCTTGTAACTCATTATCATCTTATAAAAATGTTCAGTAATACGGTAGTTAAGTCTAACCTAATCTTGGCAAAATTGACCCTTACATTGAATACTTATATTTAATACGTAAAACTATTAACTCTGATTGAAATACGTTCAAAATCTCCTTAAATACTGCGTTTCGAGAGTGATGTAGGAGAGCATCTTCAACACCTCATTAATCGACGTACTTGAAACCTTCAGTACTTTTTGATTGTTTAGCTTCAGTGAAATCAAATGGCACAAAAAAAATAATCAGTTCAAGTGATTATAAAAATTCCTGGGGATTATCTCCTAGGCGTTGGTACAAAGTTGTTTATGGTATATCATCAATCACCAAAATCTTGATAAGACATGCTCAATATGTGATGAATGGGTACAAAGTATAAATGTACTAAATTACATCCAACAACTTGTTCACATCCAGATGCAACTGCCCAAAGTCAATAATTTTCTGGGTCGATGCTGTGAGCCGAGCCCACGATGTATGCTGTTTGCATGCGAATTGATAATTGCCAATTTTGTTAATAAATTTTGACATTTCATTGGTTTTTGGACAACATTCCTGTGAACTGTTGAACCCGTGATAGGGAATATGCATGTTTTTTATACTCCAATCACCACGAAGTCATAAGGCCTAAACACCCATGGGTACCGTGAGGCCGTAGGGGATACAGGGGCAAGGGGGAACGCCATACGGACTCTGGCGAGGGAACACGTGTGCATGCAATATGCACGCACATTCAGATACCGTCTACCACCTACGGACAATCACAACATCCATAGCCAAGAGAAAAATTTCTCCTGGGACGGGATTCGAACCCGCAACAGCGCACCGGCGACTGATCAGGAGACCGAAGAGTCTACTACTGATACAGATGACATATAACTTTATAATCCATCTTATTTCTCTGGCCAATCGAAACCACATGTGTTGAAAAAACGTTCATTATTGCAAACGTTTTAGTTTTTAGTCACAACGGTTACCTTTTTTTTATACTGAAGCAGCCGCGCATGCAGAAGCCTAAATGCTGGGACACCGCGGCTGCTATGATGATCCCAAAGAAAGTTTGTCAGTCCGATTTTTGAACTGCCCAAGGTTAGTGGATCTGGGAAAAGCTTCCTCTTGTAGATTGTTCCAAAATATTTGTTGTTTCAAACTATCTCGTGTACTTTAGACATTCTCATTAACAAAATATGCGTTTACGGTATTATAATCATGCATATTTTCTATTATGTAACAACAAAGAATTAACAGTAAAGGAATTTTGGCCAACGTCTAGATATTGTTTTCACTTAATCCGAATTCCCAAAGTTGCATCTATTGCTTGTTGAATTTATATCTGTATACGGTGAACGTTTCGTGGTATATGTGAGACCTCAAGATATAAAGATAGTTAATATCTAAACTGAAAGATAAAATATCTATGATTTTTTAAAGCATCTTTATAGCAGTAATTAATGGCGACAGTATTTCGATCTTACCCTCAAGTTTCCTTAAATTCATAAGATAAAGGAGGTCAGTCTAGCTTTTCTATGAGGTTTATTAGCCTAAAATGTGCAAGCAAGTGGCATAGATAAAAATGCATATTTTGCTCTGGAGTTTCGTTTGATTTTTCTACAATGACACTTTTAAGATGAGCGGTAAAATGCGTTGAAAATACAGGGAGTTTGGTGCATCGTTTGCCAAATTGAAATGGCGGACAGAGGAGGTCTTTTTCTATCACCCCAGGCCCCTCAAACAGTTTTTAGCCTAACGGCATTAATTATGTAGATTTTTTATTTTTTTTTGGTAAAAACTCCAAAATGTAATACACAAAGTGAAATAAAAGAAATAAAGAGTATGTCCACCTAATGATTAATTTATCTTAATGGGTGATGTACCATTTCAATTTGGCAAACGATGTAATGCAGCTGATATTGGTGAACGGTATTTAAAAAGTGCTGTTTTTGCCGATATGGCTTAGAAAATTTCTATACGGAAATACATCACAGTTATACTAGAAAAGCCTTTTGATTGAAGAAATATTATCAATATTTTCATTTCATGTAAACATCATGTACTTATAATACACAATATTCTACTATATCTGTTGTCTCGAAAAATTTAAACTTGTTTTTGGATTAACTGTTTTTGGTATTTTATACTAAAAAGCCGTTGTACCTATAGGATGATCGTCTAGAGAGCAATTGTTTTTTCCAACCGATAGCATATATTTTCATATAAAAGGATGATATGCATAGAGCTCTTGCTGCCCTTCCAAATGTTCATTATTATTTTATCTAGGCCACTTAGCATACCCAGTACATATGATCTACATCACCTGCATACGAAGTCCTATATCATTTAATCTACCGTGTACACGTTATGTGAGGATACATACTGTAATGGAGATATGGTTCTTACATCACTATATGCCTGTGTATTTCTAAATTTTTGATTGCATTTATATCACGACTCTAACTTATATTAGAAATACTTCGGCAATAATAAACTCGGTTTTCTGTTCATCTGATTCAATCGGCTGTTTTGAAATCGTACCACTAGTATACGTCCGTTAGACGACCTCAGAACCCGGGTCCATTGAACGGAAGTAAGAGATATGAAGTCACTTAAATGGGGGCAAAGTTGCTTATTTAAGTAACAAAATGCTGCTTAGAAAGTTTCGAAAATCAAAGTCCTTCTGGAGAGGGAGATAGAAAAAACTGCTTCTACCAATCTCGCTTTAATTTTTTCTTGACTTTATTTGTAGTGGAATTTGAAAATAAATTGCACATTAACATTGCCACTTTTTCTCCTCTACAAGAAGGGATGAAGAAATAAAGATAGTGTACGAAACAAAGGACACGATAATAATTTCAAGCCTACCTAGAAAATTTTCCTTGAAATTAAGATTTGGCAATATGAATGTATGACGTATAATACATTTAAAATAACAATTAAAACCACAATTTATTTGATCAAAAACTCAATCAATTATTGCTCTATGAGAAAAAATAAAGTTGATGCTGCAGGACAAGATACGAAACGTCATATTGGCATTCTTATTCCATCTTGAAGGAGAGAAAAAGCGAGAGTGTTAATGTGCAATTTATTTTGAATCCCCATTACAAATAAATTCAAGGAAAAATTAAAAATATTTTGAGAAAATTCGTTTATTTCCGTCTCTTTCCGGAAGTACTTTGAATTTCGAAACTTTCTAAGCAGCATTTCGTTAGATACCTAAATTCCCAATTTTGCCCCAATTTAAGCGACTTCGTATCTCTTTACCGTATCCGAGAGCCCATTGTGGGTCGAATTTGGAACACCCAAATAAAAATTGCACTCATTGAATAAGTACATTTTTAGTATGCAGTCTTTTAAACATAATAAAAATATCAAAAATTCTGTCCTTCACGAAGCAGATATTGAATTATGAGTCCGGTCAAAGTATTGCACACGAACAAATATTTTTGTACAGAAGTCTAGCGTTTCAAGTGTTTTTCTAGATTCCTTATCGTCCCAATATCACAAGTGAAAAATACCTTGTCTTTTTTGTAAAAGATGCCTTACGGAAATTTTTCTAGAATTGACATTTTAAACAAATTTTGCATACAATAGATATTCAAAACAATATTTTTAAAGTATATCCCTTGAGATACATTATCTCGTTCAAACATCTCAATGAAGTATAAATCATTGGTGGTTTGTATTTCAATGAGACGTATTCTGTTGTTTGAAATGATGTGCGAAATTTCAAATCCTTATGCCCTTTCCATATCTCCATTAGCAATAAAATAAACTTACGCATTCTAAGTCCCCATAACCAGTAATTTCTATAGAAACACGAGTAGTATCACGTAATTACATTATTTTGGACAAAGTGGACTGGTGCATTTTAAGCAGCGTACTTATACCTACATTTACTTGGCGATGTACAAAAAATCAAATCAGAACACATTGCTAAGAACAAAATATTTTTACTCACGCATAAGCCAGGAGGAGTATTATGATAGCAAAAAAATATACCTTAGCATCCGAATACATGTATCGGAAAACATCGTAACTGGTAGGGTCCCACTGAAGGTGAATTTTTTTGGGGTTGTATTATGAGAATAAAGTGGGAAAAGAACGGACGTTGGTACTCTTAGGTCTGTTTCTATGTTGTTAACCTCCATTCGCAGTATTTCTGTAAATTTGCTAAAATATGATATAATTCGACGGTTTTGTAGAAGGAAACTGTAATGTGAACCAAGAACCGATGAAAATATTGACAGAATCCGGGATCTTGTGCATCAGATGGTCGGTTGACTGACAGAATGACCGGGAAAGAGTTGAATTTGACCCACACCACCGTTTTCAGATTTTGACCTTTTGACCAGTAAATTGGGGTTGACGAAAATCTACGCAGGAAAGGTACCATGACCTTTCGGATTCGATAGATAATGACCCCCATTTTCTGGGACGTATCATTACTGATGACGAGTCTTGGGTGTTTGAATATGACCCAGAAACATCAATAAATGAATTTTTGCCCGGTAAAAGATTCATGTGGCTCCTCAGCCTCCTTACTCACCTGACTTGATCCTTGTGAATTTGTTCTCTTCCCCAAGTTGAAAAATCACCCCAAGGATCATTTTGGGAGAGTCGAAAACATTCAAACGACTGTAACCGCCCAGCTGATGGCTATTCCAGTATCGAAGTGTGGCTTTAGAAGGAAGTTATTTTGAGGCTGTCAATATAAAATTGTAATTATACTTGAATGAAAAAAAAACTTTTCCATTACTTAATTCACAGACCTCGTACCCTCCCAATTACCCTACGTTTTCCCACCCAAAAATGTTTGACCCTTAATTCTTTTGTGCCTGAGTCTGAGTGATTTTACTTTTTTCGTTTTTGGCCTTTTTCTCCGCTGCCACTGGACCGATTTTGAAAAACTATAAGGATTTTTCGTACTTGGCATAGTAGTACCCTTGTGTAAAAATTTCATCCAAATCCGAGCAGTATTTTCCAAGTTATAGACATTTTTCTTGCCGTACATGACATATAACAGTAAAAAAAAAACATGATGTCTCATTTTCGAAATGGCGTGTGAAGTAAAAAGAAACCACTTTTTTTCTGAAGGAACCACAAATAAATATTAGATATTTTCCGACACAAGCTCTGATGACTAATCAGTTACTGCACAATATTCCCGCATCTAGTGAGGATTGTCGATTTGCTATCTTTATTGATAATTTATAATAATCATTGTAAAAGTGCCCAGGACTCTTGAGAGATAGGTAAAATTTATATTGAATCTAATTTTGAAAATCTGGGTATGTAATGAATTTTTTTTGAGAAATTCTTCCTACAATTGTTTATACTCGATTTCTTATATTTTAAAAATGAAAGGCACAGATGCCATAACACCCTAACCACCTCAGTTAACCCATGTTTCAAAGGCAGTCGATTCACATAGCAAAACGCTAAGCTAGAGTTGCCTACTCATAAGCTGACATATGTGTATGTGCGTTTAATTTCATTTTTTCCAAAATGCAGAGACAAAAAGCAAACAGATTCAGTTCAGTATGTGTCAGTGGTGGTCTTTTTCACCAGTCTCCATTACGTCAAACTTGGCAGCAAATACGAGGGCTGTTCAATAAGTACCAGTGTTTGACGACAGAGGTCGTTCCTTATCATCGTGTGCTGCCATCTATCAAAGGACGGCACAACACATTTCAGACTGATTGATAGGTTAGTTTGGATTTGGCAGCCATTCGAGCAGTATCGTTCGGTAATTCGATTTTTGTTTTTGGATGGTAAAACATGGGAGGAGATACAAGCAAAGTTGGATGCTGTTTATGCGGACACTTTGCCATCTATGACCACGGTTAGATATTGGTAAAACGAATTTAAACGTGGGCGAACATCCGTTTTTGAGGAGGATCGACCAGGATGCTCGGTAGACGTGGTTAACGAGGAAATAACTCAAAAAGTCCACGACATGATTCTCGCTGATCGACGAACGAAAGTGCGCGAAGTAGCAGAGGCCGTAGGTGTGCCGACCGGAACGGCAATCAATATTTTACATGATAAGTTGGCTATGAAAAAATTGTCGGCCCGATGGGTGCCGCGATTGCTCACTGTGGACAACAAGCGGACTGTTTGGAGCAATTTAAGCGAAATCCGAAGGAGTTTTTGCTTCGAGTTGTTACCGTCGATGAAACCTGGATTCATCATTACACACCAGAAATTAAGCAACAATCAAAACAATGGATTTCTTCCGGTGAATCTGCTCCAAAGAAGGCGAAGACGGTCCCATCGGCCTGAAAGGTCATGGCGACGATTTTTTGGGATGCGAACCGCGTCATCCTCGTGTATTTTTTAGAAAAAGGATGAACGATCACTGAACAATACTATAGTGAGTTATTGGACCGCTTCGACAAAAAATTGAAGGAGACACGGCCACATTTGACGTGCTGTTTCACCACGATAACGCACCAGCACATTCATCCGGAGTTGTCGCCGCCAAACTGCATGAAATGCTGCCGCTCCCCTCGTATTCACCCGATCTGGCACCCTGCGACTTTTTCATGTTCCCTGACATGAAGAAACAGCTCGCAGGGAAAACATTTAGCTCAAACGAGGAAGTCATAACCGAGACAGGTGTATTTTGAAGGGTTCGAAAAATTCTATTTCTTGAACGTTTGAAAAAAATGGTGTCTTCATTTCTAATACGGGTACTTATTGAACCGTCCTCGTATAGCTGATTATCAACTAACATTTCAAAATACCCATATCGATCAGTGACTCACAATTACGCTACGGACTCATACGCACATCCTAACAGCGCTTTAGAAAAGTACCTACGTATTTCAAGACACGCAGGAATAAAACCAGATAAACCGTTTTTGACTATGTTCTGTATACGGTCCCGAGTTTTACTCACCCGATTCATTATTGCCAACACTACAGACTTTAATACAAAGATGTCACTTGCTAATTACCTGCTCACCTCAATATATGTCAAAACATAATAGAGTACAATAGCGTACAAAAAACAAATTTCTCGATATGGGGAATTTTGAAATATCACTAGATAAATGTTAATCAACTTTGAATATTAACTGGATTTAAACCATGGATTCATTGGGGGGTATACGGAGTGTCAAGAACAAGAAATCAATAAATGTGTTAGAAGAGTCCAAGGTTGACAGTGCAAGAAGGCAGTATAATTGCAATTTGAGTAAATCATTATCTCCGCCCAAAATTGATAACCAAAAAATGAACGAATTTGTGCTAAGAAAGTTGAAGTCACGGACTATGGGGTCTCAGAAACCGGAATAGTCCGGGTCAGAGCTGACTGGACGATATTGCCGGGTCGGACTCGGACTTTCTCGAAAAACACAAGCAACCTGAACCGTTTCGATCCTGCGGTTTGAGCTCTTTATCGCGTTCTGCCAGGCATTTCTGGTAGTAGTCGTAGTCTTTCAGGTACCTGGAACGGAACACACTTTGTAGGTTAGGTATTTCAAGGCCAGGCGGAACGTAGTGCACGCCATCTTTGCACGTCACAGCAGGGTCAAATTAGGAATAGATTATTAGTCTTATAGCAAAATTTTCCCCTATACTCGAAATAAAGTCTTTATACACATACAAAGTAGCAGTAGTAGTAGTAGTAGAAAGATTTATTTAGCACATTTGGCTACATAAACAGAATAATTGTAAACAACTTAGAACTAGTAAATTCAAGCCATATGGTGTATGATGTACCTAAATGCTGGGCAACCTATAATTGTAGATTTAACAAGTGATTTCTCAATTTTACTTTAAATTTTGTCAAAGTTTTCTGGTCTTTTATCTCCGAGTATAATTTATTATATTCAATCAACCCTTGATGGAATACAGATTTGTAGCATATGTTATACTTTTTGGTCATTAAATGGAAGTCATCTTTATTTCTGGTATTATGTAAATGATGGTCGACATTTGATGATGTTAAATTAGTTAGACTTGATGGAAATATATTATTTTTTACTTTATAAATGAATATCATTACAAGATATTTGATAACATTTTTTACATTGATCCATTTTAATTTGCTAAGCATTTGCCTAATTGGAGTGTATTTATCTTTATTTAGTATTATTCTCACGCACTTATTTTGTAAAATTTGCAGTCTTTCAAAAATGGAATTATTTGCTAAATATAGAATAGTCAAACAGTACAAGAAATTTGGAAGAATGATGGTATTATAGATAATTTTTTTGCTATATGAACTCAGACATCCAGAAACTCTCGATAAATATCCCACTTTACTACTAATCTTATTTATAACTTTTTGATAATGAATATCAAAAATGAATCGAGAGTCAACAAAAACCCCCAGGTATTTAAAATTTACTACGAATTCAATATCTTCACCATCAATATTCAGTTGAACATTTGTACATTGTTTTTTCCGATTAACAAGGCTTTCGTTTTACTTGTATTTAATTTTAGTCTGTTTCAAGTTTCAAGTCTTCATTTATATAAGAGATACCAGACTGAATATTTTTAGTACTTATATAAATCATAGTGTCATCGGCGAAAATCTGAATTTTGCATTTTTTTACTATGGCATTTATGTATAAAATAAAAAGAAGTGGTCCCAGGATACTGCCCTGTGGAACACCCAACGTATTTTCAATTTTTGATGAAATAGTATCATTAACTTTTGTAACTTGCATCCTTTTAGACAAATAATTTCTAAACCAATCTAAAACACTTCCTGTTATACCATATGCCTTCAATTTACCTAACAAAATATCTCTATCAATCGTTTCAAATGCCCTCTTCAAATCCAAAAATACTGCTGTGACAACTTGTTTTGAGTCTATGGCTCTTCTCCAATTCTCAGTTACCAACTGGAAAGCCGTTTCTGTGGAATATTTTTTTCGAAAGCCTGCTTGCGCCTCGACTAAAATTTTGTTTTCTTCTATAAACTGCATTAATTGGTCATGCACTATGGACTCTAATAATTTTTCAATGTCTAGTAATACATTTACTAGTCTCAAATCGCTGCATCTTTTAGAATTTTTTATTTTGGGAACTGGTGTTGTTGTAGAGCATTTCAAATTTTCAGGAAAAGAACTGTTTCGCAGTGAACAATTGATCCAATTTAATACAGGGTATCCCAAAATTTCGAAACAGTTTTTCAGCACGTTTTTAGTAGTGATTTCGGAACAGTTGTTATTTGATTTTAAACTGTTTACTTTTTTTCTTAGATAATTCAATGATACGCTGTGAAATTTTGAAAGTGTATGCAACATATCCCCCTGGAAACTGATTTTCATATAGTCAGGTGCAGCATTGCCAGTACCCACCATATCAATAATACTTTCCACAAAATATTCATTCAGTTTGTTTGCAATCACCAAAGAATTTCTGTCGGTACCGTTTTCGAATTGAACTTGATTTACACAATCATGCGGCCTCGAATTGATCAGTCTTTTTAAAGTCTTCCACATCTTCACACTGTCGCACTTGTTATTATCGATTTGTTTATCGTAGAATTTCCTTTTTTCTTCTCTAATTACATACACACATTTATTCCTAAGAGTTTTATGTATATACCTCCCAATCATCATTTGATTTTGTGAATATACATTTATTGTATTGTTTGTCTCTCAAATTTTGAGCTGCCTTAATATTCTTGTTATACCAGGGTGTATTTTTTGTCGAGTAAATCACTGTTTTATCAGTTGCAAGATCTAAACAAGTTTTTATATTTCCTACTATGTTGTCATATATTTTTTCCATATTCTCACCAAAATTTCAATAGCAGCCAGCAAGTTCTCGTTCAAGTTTTTCGTACTTAATATACTAAGTGACATATAAATCCGAACACCCAGTTTAAATGGTTTTATTTTAATAAAATTTTGTATAAGTACTTAATGAAGCATAATAAGTAAATGATAAAAATTTCAAAGTGATTGCACTGCTTTAAAGTCCTGTGACCTTTAATAATGTGTGGATGCACCCTGATGTGCTACGCATTCTCCAACGCGCCTAGGCATGCTTCTGATCAGGTGGTCAATGTCCTCCTGTGGTATCTCATTCCAGGCAACCACCAACTCCTCTCGAAGTGCTTCTAGAGTCTGAGGAGGACGTTGCAAATTGAGCAATCTCCTACCCATCATATCCCACACGTGCTCAATTGGGGATAAGTCGGGAGATCTTGGTGGCCATGGTAACAATGAGACATCATTATGTTGAAAGAAGTCTATTGTGACTCTTGCAACATGTGGTCGGGCATTATCTTGTTGGAAAGTTGGATCTGCCAGGGTGTCAAGATAGGCTAAAAGATGGGGTTCTAGAACTTCGTGGATATAACGCTGCGCGTTCATGTTACCTCTGATGAAGATTAAAGGTGACCTGGAACCATAAGCTATAGCACCCCAAACCATAACTCCAACAGTGTGATGAACATGTCTTTCAACAAAAAACTGTAGATTCCTCCTTTCACCACGTCGCCTTCTAACCCTGGCACGACCATCGTGCATGCCTAAACAAAATCGAGACTCGTCACTAAAGACAATACTGTTCCATTCCTGATCCCAGAGTGACCGTTGTCTGCACCACTCAAGGCGATTACGTCGGTGTTCTCGAGTTAAAGGGAGGACCCAGTGTGGTCGGTATGAAAACAAGCCAAAACTTCTCATTCGTCGGTAAACACTTCGCATGCCAATAGGTCTTCCGTGTTCTGCAAACCATTCATTTGCAATGGACCTGGTAGTGGAGAAACGGTCCCTTAAGGCCAATAATCTTAGGCGGCGATCTTCACGGTGTGTTGTTCTACGGCGGCGTCCAGTGCCCCTTGCTCTTTGCGTACGGCCTTCTCGAAGCCATGCCTGACAACACCTAACCACAGTGTCTACACTTCTTTGCACTCTAACTGCAATTGCCCGAACAGAAGGTCCAGCTTCCGGAATTCCCACTATACGGCCCCTATCAAACTCACTAAGTTGACGAAATCGTACAGGTCTCCGTACTCTAGGCATCGTAACCGATCGTAAAGGATGTCAAGAACCAAAATCCGCCAACGTTGATTCTTTACTGCGGCTGAAATATTCATTTTTAGAGCATTAGTGAATTAAAAAAAAGCAGTATAAAAACCGGAATATCCAACTGATAAGGCTGAAAATTTTTTCACTTGTTATTTACAGTAAGATATATACATTCACCAACTTTTATTAAAATAAAACCATTTAAAGTGGGTGTTCGGATTTATATGTCACTTAGTATAGTATTTACGATTTTCTTAATTTTTGTATCAGGTGGGCCATTTAAAGTGGAAGCATCAAGCAACCCTATATATTTGACATTAGTTGTCAGATCGACTAATGTCATACCGCATTGGAAGCGTCATATCAGTACAATTTTAACCATGGAACAAACAGTACACACCAAAACAACGCGCTGAAATAATTCAGTTGTACATTCAAAATAACTTCTCAATCGTGAAAACTAAACGTGGGTTTCGTAAAAAAATAAAGTTAAAAGTGCTCCAGCTGATAACACTATCAGACGTTTATACGCAAAATTTGTGAACACCGGTAGTAATGCCATATACAGGGTGTCCCAGAAGTCGACGTCAAGCCGAAACCGGGTGATAGGCAAATTCATAACAGCTATCACAAAAATATTTAAAAAAATTTTATGTATGTGTTTTGAAAATTATAGGTCTTTGAAAAAAATATAGAAATTTCACACCCTACGGCAGTCTGTCAACTCCTGTTACTACAAATATTAACTTATATTGGATTTTATTTTTACAATGTAATGATGAATAATGCATCTTCAAACTGGAGTCTCAACCTTACTGCCAACTTTTCTCGTTCAGGAAAAATTGCCACTTATTTCCCAACCAAGTATTCCAAAGTAAAACTTTGCTCAACTTTAACTGGCTGTACTGGAAAAAAATGTACTACGAGAGTTTGGCAAGTAACCTTAAAAGTTAGCGCATTTAATAAGGATTCCAAAATGGTATAACACTTAGAAGATTATTCGTTAACTAATGCACAATTTTTATTTGAAGAAAAACTGATGACAATTTTTCAAAATTTCCTAATTACAGCGATTATGAAAACGCACAAAGACCCTTAAGGATAACTGTTTGCACAACAGTGGGCGTCAAAATGCTGCTGATTAAAGCAAATGCTCAAACTGTTTTCCTTCAGCCGCAATACATGCTCGACATCTTCTTAAAAAAGAACGGGTTATTAAACGAGCGAATCCACGGTTATTAACAAACTCAGCTGCTTCCAATAGTCTTTGCCGTAGCTCAGCTACATTTTGAATCGGCTTGAAATACACTTTTTCTTTTACTGTTCCCCAGTAAAAAAAATCTAACAGATCCAAATCTGGTGACCGGGCTGGCCACGGTATTGTACCAGACTGCCCTATCCATCTGCCTGGAAAGTTTTGATCGAGATACTCTCTCACTGAGAGTGCACAGTGCGCTGAGCAGCCATCATGCTGAAATCACATGTCCCTGTAAATACTCAGTGGCACGACCTCCAATAAATTTTCTAAATGATTTTGCAAAAAACCTAAATAAACCTCAGCAGTCAAAGTCTCTGGGAACTCAAACGGACCGATTATTTTACCATTTAAAATTCCCGTCCAATGGTTTATCTTGAAGCGATATTGCGATTTATCTTCTCTCATCAAATGTGGGTTTGCTACGTGCCACTAGTGTAAGTTATGCAGGTTCATGTACCCATCTTTCTTAAATGTGGTCTCATCTGACCATAAAATTTTTTCAAAGAACCGTGGATCAAAACTTTCCAGGCAGATGGATAAGGCGGTCTGGTACAATACCGTGGCCAGTCCGATTACCTGGTTTGAATCCTTTAGATTTTTTTACTGGAGAACTGTAAAAGAAAAAGTGTATTTCAAGCCGATTCAAAATGTAGCTGAGCTACGGCTAATACTATTGGAAGCAGCTGAGTTTGTTAATAACCGTGGATTCGCTCGTTTAATAACACGATCTTTTTTAAGATGTCGAGCGTGTATTGCGGCTGAAGGAAAACAGTTTGAGCATTTGCTGTAAAGGTAAATCATCATCAGCAGCATTTTGACGCCCACTGTTGTGCAAACAGTTATCCTTAAGGGTCCATGTGCGTTTTCATAGTTGGTGTTTAATTAAGAAATTTTGAAAAATTTTCATCAGTTTTTTTTCAAATAAAAATTGTGCATAAGTTAACTAGTAATCTTCTAAGTGTTATACCATTTTGGAATCGTTATTAAATGCGCCAACTTTTAAGGTTACTTGCCAAACTCTCGCAGTACATTTTTTCCAGTACAGCCAGTAAAAGTTGAGCAAATTTTTACTTTGGAATACTTGGTTGGGAAATAAGTGGCAATTTTCCCTGAACGAGAAAAGTTGGCGGTAAGGTTGAGACACCAGTTTGAAGATGCATTATTCATCATTACATTGTAAAAATAAAATCCAAAAAAAGTTAATATGTGTAGTAACAGGAGTTGACAGACTGCCGTAGGGTGTGAAATTTCTATATCTTTTTCAAAGACCTATAATTTTCAAAACACATACATAAAATTTTTTTAAATATTTTTCTGATAGCTGTTATGACTTTGCCTATCACCCGGTTTCGGCTTGACGTCGACTTCTGGGACACCCTGTATATACAGACAACGAACAAGACGTTCCGATGAAAATATCGAAGCCGTACGAGCCAGTGCTGAAGAGTCTCCATCAAGATCCGGTCGTCATCGTTCTCAAGAGTTAGGCATCGCTCGAACCACTCTCCGACGCATAATTCGTAAGGATTTGAAGATGTTTCCATACAAAATTCAAATGGCTCATCAATTGAGCCCAGCTGATTATCCGTGTCGCTTTGATTTTGCTAAACGGAGCAATGAAATGGCCGAAAATTAATGTGACTTTTGGCGAGAAATCATCATGTCCGACGAGGCACATTTTTCGTTACATGGAGGCGTAAGTAAACAAAATTGTCGGTTTACCGAAAACCATCAATCAATCGAGGCAGCCTCTTTATGACCAGAAAGTTACTGTTTGGTGCGGAATGTGCGCTAATATGGTCATCGGGCCGTATTGATGATAGAGCTGCGTTAACCGTCAACGGTGAGCGTTATCGACTTTTTTGAGGCTAATTGTTTGTGAAAATGACATGGACACGATTACTGGTTCCAGCAGGATGACGCCACATGCCACAAAGCTCAAATAACAATCAGTTTATTGCGACCATTGTTCCCTGGACGACTGATATCGAAAAATGTCGATTTTGACTGGCCACCGAAATTACCTGATTTGACATCAGACTTTTATTTGTGGGGCTATGTGAAATCCAAGATATGCTCTAACAAGCCAAGGACTCTAGCTGCCCTGAAGATCAATATTCGTCAAGAAATTTCCGCCATATCCGCCGAAACATTGGCCAACGTGATAGAAAACGCCGAAAAAATGGCACATTTGGTTATCAAGGCCAGAGATGGCCATTTTGAAAAGTAATTACAACAAATCTCCTTGGATCAAAATGAAAGACTTTTCAAATAAACAACAAAAACTATTTTTTTTTTGTTTAATGGGTGATTTTTTTGCTAGTATCTTTTTGGCACCACTGTTTTTGACAGATGACGCGTGAATCGTGTCTTGTGTCATTGTCAAACTTGTTCAGTTTGGTCTATAATTTAACCGTGAATCGACTTACGAATGAACAACGCTTGCAAATTATTGAGTTTTACTATCAAAATTCATGCTCGGTTAAGAGAGTGCATCGAGCACTGCTTCCAATTTATGGGCAATTTGGTCGGCCTACTGAGGGAGCTATTCGGAAGCTTGTGACTAAGTTTCGAACCCAGTTTACATCATTGGACATTAAACCACCAGCACGCAGACGTAGAGTGAGGGCTGAAGAAAATATTGCGGCTGTATCCGCCAGTGTTAGTGATGACCGTGAAATGTCGATTCGCCGCCGTTCGCAGCAATTGGGCCTCTGTTACTCCACTACGTGGAAAATTTTGCGACAGGATTTGGGTATAAAACCTTATAAGATACATCTGGTGCAAGAATTGAAGCCACACGATCTCCCACAACGTTTCCAATTTGGTGAATTGGCGCTGGCAAAGTTGGAGGAAGATCCACATTTTTATCGAAAAATTGTGTTCAGCGACGAAGCTCATTTCTGGTTGAATGGGTACGTTAACAAGCAAAATTGCCGCATCTTTAGTGAAGACCAGCCAGAAGCATTGCAAGAGCTACCAATGCATCCCGAAAAAATCACTGTTTGGTGTGGATTATGGGCCGGTGGCATCATCGGGCCGTACTTCTTCGAAGACGACAATGGCCGGAACGTAACTGTGAATGGCGAGCGCTACCGTGGGATGATAACAAACTTTTTTTGCCCAAAATGGAAGAGCTGGACTTGGTTGACATGTGGTTTCAACAAGACGGTGCCACATGCCACACCGCACACGAAACAATGGCCCTATTGAGAGGCGAGTTCGGTGAACAGTTTATCTCACGTTTGGGGCCCGTCAATTGGCCGCCTAGATCGTGTGATTTAACGCCGTTGGACTATTTCTTGTGGGGCCATGTTAAGGCTAATGTCTACAGGGATAAACCAGCAACGATTGACGCACTGGAAGCCAATATTGAAGCATTTATTCGTGAGATACCGGCCGATATGTTGGAGAGAGTGTGCCGAAATTGGACCTTGCGCATGGGCCATCTAAAGCGGAGCCGCGGCCAACATTTACATGAAATAATCTTTAAACATTAAATTATATCGACCGTTCTATCGACTCAAATAAAGATTTAATCGTTTTTCCAAATTTTTTGTGTTTTTTTTGAAAATCAAATCCTACACCTCTTAAAAAATCACCCGTTATAAACAAATGCTTCCACTTTAAATGGCCCACCTTGTATAATGCTTTTACGTTTAAATTGTTGTTTTTTCATGGCTAGGTAGATTTCTTTTCTAGCGTCCCTCGTTCTTACCATACTGGAGGCCATCGATGCTCCACAAGATACGCCTGATTATCGGGATGTAACAGTCGTAAACTTCGAGGTGACATTCGGCAGAGTTTGTTGTAGTTGACGCATAGGTGATTCATACACCAATCGGCTAGTTGATGACCATTGTGCAACTGAAATTAAAAGACATACAATAAAAAAACTTGAAAGATAGAGGAAACCCATACAAAGCGAACACTCGTTTACATCCAGACGATAAATCGTTCAACTGTCCTCAATCAGTTGCAGGAAAATCAACGTGCTTATTCGGATGCCAGACATAATTTTTTTAAAGAATCCGATTGATTTTGCAATATATGAATATATATATACAACCAATATAAAAATAAATTTATAGAGCTTGTAAGGCAAACCAAACGAAAACATTACCTAAATAAATTGAATAATAACTTAAATGATCCTAAGCGGCTTTGGACAACTATTGATGAGATTACTGGGAAAACAAAAGTTAAAGAGTGTGTCACTGAGTTAAATACAACATCGGGAACAGTATTAAAAAATACTCAACAGATATGCGATGAATTTGTACAATTCTTTACTGACATAGGCGAAAATTTAGCAAGTAATATACAAGCAAATGTACAAAATACTCAGCCTCCAAAAAGAACTTTGAACTCATTTATTTTGGATAAAGTCGAGCAATGTGAGGTATACACCACTGTTATGTCCTTAAAAAATCGGAAAAGTCCTGGGTTCGATGGTATTAAAAGCGAGCATTTGAAAATTATAGCCGAGGACATAACAGAACCACTCACTTACCTAATCAACAAATGCTTTGAATCTGGCATATATCCCTCAATTTTAAAAAAAAGGTATTATAATACCGATACATAAATCAGGAACAAAAACAGATGTTAACAACTATAGACCAATATCAATAATACCCAGTGTAGCAAAGGTTTTTGAAAAAGTTTTATCTACTAGAATGATTCGATACCTCACAAAATTCAAAATTTTAAGTGAGAATCAATATGGATTTACAGAAGGGAAGGCTACATCGGACGCAATAACTAAAATTGTAAATCAAATACATCAAAATATTGATAACAGAATCCCTTCAATCTGCATTTTTGTTGATTTAAAGAAAGCTTTCGTCACAGTTAATCACAAATTATTATTAGAAGCATTGGAGAGAATTGGTTTCAGAGGAAACGCGTACTCACTGATCGAAAGTTATTTGTCAAATCGCCCACAATCTGTGCAGATATCAGGATCATTTAGTAAAGAAATGTATATTAAGTGTGGTGTCCCACAAGGAACTGTCTTAGGTCCGCTGTTATTCAATATATATTTAAATGATATTTTCCAAATTAATTGTGTTGGCAAAATAACTAGTTTTGCAGATGATGCTGCAATATTATATGAAGGCACTGACTGGTCTGATCTGAAAAATGTAATTGAAAATGATTTTATCAAAATTATTCGGTGGTTTAACAGTAGAAAATTAAGCATTAACTACTCTAAAACACATTTTTTACCATTTGGATCTTATGCTAGACATCTGCCAAATTACACAAATTTCTCCTTCAATATTAATGATCAAAAAATGCAAATTAATAGAGTGCCCAACATAAAATACCTTGGAGTGGTCTTGGATCCTCACTTACGATGGGACATCCATGTCAATTATATTTTAAAGAAAGTTAGATTTGTATCCTACAAAATTAAATACCTTGGGAATATATTGACAGAAAAATATCTTCGAACATTATACCATGCACTGATTGAGCCTCATCTCACATATGGTATATTCGCATGGGGAGCTGCATGTTCCTCACATATCTATAATTTAGATGTTTTTCAAAAAAGTATTCTAAAAATGATATTTAAAAAACCGACCAAAAAATTAAACATATTCATTATACCAGGTACAAAATTCGTGGCACAGTAGTTCCTCAACCGCATAAATCTATAATGCAGCGATCATATCTCTATTTAGCGCCTAAATTTTATGAAATTATACCTAAAGACTTAAAAGATTTACGTTTCGGAAATTGTTTCAAAAGAAATTTAAAAAAGTGGCTACATTCTATATCTAGGACTGAAATTCATAAACTCATAAATACGAACATCAACTAAATACATAATCTACTGTAGCTAATTTTTGTCCTTTTTTGTCATTTGCATTCTACAGTTTCAACTTAAATTATTGGTCCATGTACAGGCGATGCCTCCTATTGGGCCTGTTTTGATTTTATATTTATTTACTCATATTGTTTGTTATCTTTGTACATTGAGTGAATAAAAAATATTATATGTCATGCTATACTACTAACTATACTAGTTAAAACCTGCAACACTGCACTATTAGAAAGAGCAATCCTTTATTATCGGTAACCAAATAAGTTTGTGCGGTTTTTAGTAGAAACATACAAATTTTTATTGAGAAACAACAAGACACTACGAGCCCCTTCCCACTTCAGTTGGCCCAATTCAAGATTTGTACCAGAATATGCCTTTATAAACTAAACATGACGAAACTATTTACTTCTAAAACAATTTATTTTCTCAAAAACGTTTTAGATACACTCTAGCCGTAAAAAATACATATTTGAAATCACTTAGACCTATAACCAATAGAACATCTGAGCAAATAAACAATGTGCGAATAAATGCGCGAAGTTAACAAAGCAACAAATGAAAGATTACCATTGGGTAACATCACCTTTATTTTTTATTACGGCTGAAATTCTTTGGGGCATAGTGTTAACCAAGTTTTGGCAGAAATTTGGTGTAAAACATTCCCATATTTCTTGAAGCTTTTGTCTCAGTTCTGTGATTGTACGAGCAGGATGTTGTCGTAGAACCTTTTTCATCTCGTGCCACAAAGTTTCAATAGGTGACAGATCTGGACTGCTAGAAACCCATTTCAAAAGTGGTACATTATTTTCTTCCATCCATTTTATAGCCTTTTTTGAGGTATGGCACGCTGCACCATCTTGCTGAAACACAAAATCTTGGCTGGATGTCAAACATTCTTCCATCACTGGTAAAAGCGATTCTTCTAAAATTGCCAAATATTTGTATCCACATTTCCACCAATAAAATGAAGTTTTCCTACTCTTTTTGATGACATACTGCCCCAGACCATAATGAATGCTGGAAATTTCAATTTTCTCTTCAGACAGTCAACATGGAGTGCTTCATTTTTTTGCGAATAACTCTACTGCGACTGTCACCAACACAAACTTCGAATAGGGCCTCATCACTTCATTGTATTGCCCACCATTGTTGAGGTGTACATTGTCTATGTTCTTTTGCCCATCTAAGCCGATTTTTCTTTTGCCGTGGTGTTAATAGTGGCTTTTCTTTGGCCTATAAATAAGTTGTGCTACTTTGAGGTTTTTACTTCACTTTTTTTTATAAGAAAACTTACCTTGCACGTGCTAAATCCCAGTTTGTGGGCCTCTCTATGAGTTGTGGACCTCGAAATTGTCGTTCCAACAGCGTCACTCCACAGAGCACTTAATTGTAAATAATTGGCACGCCTGTTTTTCACGATTATTCTTCTTAATGCTCTTCAGTCGGCATTTGTGATATTACTTTTTTTTCACATATCGAGTTTGATTTCCCAGAATTAAAAAATTGAATTATCAATAACCGAATTTTCTCACTAATAACCTGTCCTCTACACATTTTGAAAACCTTAACTACCCAAAACTATTTTCAACGTATTCTGACAGCTGTGATTAATAAAAACAATTGTCATGGCTTTTATTTTTCACAGCCACCTATGCGTTATAGACTTATTTTGCATTAAAATGAAAATAGGTTGATATGTTGTAATTGCAACATGTGTTATTTTTATGCTGTAAATTTGATTAGGGAGTGATATATCACTGGGCGAAATGTCGCGAGAATATGGCGGGTGCGGTAACGTTTCCCAGCCGTGTTCAGAAATTTTTTCTCGGGTCACTCTTGCGGTATGAGGCTTGGCGTTATCCTGCAAGAATATCACTTTCTTCCGATTGATCTGGATGAGTGCTGCTTGTACTCTTTGAAGCTGCTCACAATACAAGCAGTGGTGGTTTGACCCCTTTCCAAAATCTCATAATGGACAATTCCAGTTGCTGTCCACCAAACAAACAACACAACCTTGTTTGGGTGCAAGGAAGCCTTGGGCATGTGTGGTACCGAATCAGTAGGCGACAACCAATGATACGAACGCTTAGAATTCGAATACAAGATCCATTTTTCGTCGCAGGTTAATAACCGATTAAGAAATGGTTCATCAGCGTTGCGTGAAATGTTTGCTGAACAAATGGTAAGACGACTTAATTTGTTATCATTTGTCAGTTCATGTGGGACCCGTTTGCTTAACTTCCTCGCCTTTCCTAGCTGATGAAGATGCAAACGAATAGCTTCAGGACTCACTCTGAGCATTTCTGCAAGTTCTTGGCACGTTGTCCTGGAATTTGCGTCCACAACCTGTCGAAAATCCTCGTTGTTCAGGATTTTTGGTCTCCCTGAGCGCGGTTCATCGCTCAAACTGAGATCTCCCGACGAGCATTTTTTGACCACTTCTGTGCTGTTCGATCACTAACGGCATCATCTCCAAATGCGGTATATACCATTTTGCATGATTATAATAATTTAAAAAACGTTTTTGCGTGCAATCGTGCATCAGGACAGTGCCTCTAGCCACACTGCCTAACTAACTTTTTACGCCAGTGCCACATCAAAATGCTAGCGCATCCGCCTTATTCGCCAGATTTGGCAGTGTGTGACTTCTGGCTCTTCAAAAATTTGAAAAAAAAATCTGCGTGGTCGAAAATGTTCGTCCGAAGAGGAAATCGATCAAGAAACTAATCAGTTTGTTGAAGGCATTCCAAAAACTGACTGGTTAGAAGCATTTTATTTGTGGAAGGTCAGGCTACATAAGTGCATTGATGCTGAAGGAGAATACTTTGACCTAGTTTTCGAAAAATAGTTTTTAGATTTTGTGTACCTCAAAATATATAGAGTGGCCCTCGTAAATAACGTATATTTGAATGGTGATAAAACTAATAAATTATTTTTGAATGTTAACAAATGCAAAACCTGTTCTTTTACCAGGAAATAGTTTTTGATTACACAAGGTGTCAGTTTGATGCGTTGTTCAGAAGTAAGAGAT